CTTCATTGTAAACCAGTGTGGGGTTCTCATTGATTATTTGAATTCATATTTGCAGCAGCTCTTTCTGGGGCTGGCTGTGGATTTTGGCTCCCAGAGGTGACTTTGATGGCAGTGAGGTTTATCTGAGTGCAGTCACTGCTCACTTGGAGATGCAGAATGAGATCAGATCACTSGGTGAGGTACAAACAGCATCATCTGTGCCTTGTTTTTCCCCAGTAGAGATGGCTATCACCTCTTAGGGCAGACACTTAACACTGGATTTTCCTATTCCCAGTCTGCTGCAGCAGCCTATAATTAGTTTTCACACTTTGGCTCTGTTTAACTCCCCTCTGTCTCATCTGTTAATCTGCTAACAAGCAGAAAATGTGTTTTAGAGTAGGCTYCAAATGGGAGGCCAAGACCTCATAGTTCACCTTCGGAGGGAACTGCTCASAGGGCACAATTCTTAGGTAATTTTCAAATATTCTTGTATTCATGTAGTTTTTACAGCCTGGGCAAAAATGAGATTGTATATCTTAATATTAATGCAGAAAGTTGYAAATGGACTAAAAGCTAATAGCATAAAATAATCTTTAATTTCCTTTTGTTGCAGGGAAATGATTTAATGTGAGTAAAGGTATCAGTTTGACACCTGGCAGCCCCTTTCATGATTGTGCAAACCAAGGAATTTCTATTCTATCAAATTTGTGGCAGTTTAGGGGGGATGTTCCAAAAGAGACCTTCAATGGGTGTTTTTTTGGGAATGGATGAAGATGGATCTCCTTCAGTGCTCTGGGTGGGTGATGAGGTGGGGATKGGTCACAGGTTGGTGATTCTGGAGGGATTTTCCAGCCCAGAGATCCTGGGATTCTGAGCAGTGAGTGTGTTTTTATCTCACATTGCCTGGGTCTGCTCAGACCAGCCACCACCAGCGTGTTTATCTCCCTCATAAATTTTGACATCATAGGTCAGATCTCCTTTGTCTGGACAGAAATGAAGAACAGCCCTTTGGAAATTTCTTTTCCCCCTACATTTGYGCTCAGCGTTGCAGCAGTCATTGCCTGTGTGTTCTGTGTCTGGAATGTGAAATTTGGAGCTGATGTGAGAGCAGGGGGTGACCTCTGTCGTGTTCCTGTCCCCATTCCCAGGCTCATCCCCATCAGAGCCCTTCCCCTGCGTCAGCCTGACTTTTATTCATTTGTTCCTTTATTTATCCATCCATTTATTCATTTATTCCTTTATTTATCCATCCATCATTCCCGATTGTTTGCATAAGAATGGAAATTAAAACCGGTGCAGTTTTAATGGCTGGAGCTGAGATTGGATGATTGGAGCTGTCGGAGGCTGAGGCACAGAACTCCCCTGGTTCGGTGATGCTGCCCTGCCCCAGCCCCCCCAGATTAAGGGAAGATTGTCCTTTCATTTTCATTTTCATATTCTGCATAAATTGAAGTCGCCTGTGCCATTTGTCCTAAGTCTCTTTTCCAAAGAGCTGCCACTGATTATCGACCTTTTCTATTTTCCATTTCTAATCCCCCTCCTTCCTTCAGTGGTCTGTTCATTTACTAATCCCTGCTGTCGTGTGCGTAGATGGCGAGAGATGGAAATCTAATCTCAATGCGGTTTTCATTCTCTGTCTAATGTACTTAGAGAGATTCGTGGGATTGGAGCTTTTTTAGGGGGTTGGGAGYGAAGCAGATGCCCAAATGATCACTGCTACCTGGCCCGGGGAAATGAATCCAGACATCCACGGATTTGGCTGGGCTTTACTCAAATGCAGCCTGGTTTTTAGAGTTATAAATTGCACTCTTATCCTCCCTGATCATTTCACTGAGACAGGAGTGGGCTGCTAAGAGGTTTGGAGCCCTTCCCARCCAACGAGCTTCTTTAAATAGGAGATGGGCTGAGCCAGAGTCAGAGCTGGACCTTGTGCCTCCAGTCCCATCAGGGGAAGTTTACTTTGGATATTAAGGGAAGTTTACATTGGATTTTAAAGGAAGTTTACATTGGCTATTAAGGGAAATTTCCATTGGATATTAAGGGAAATTTCCATTGGATATTAAAGGAAGTTTACATTGGACTTTAAGGGAAGTTTCCATTGGATATTAAGGAAAGTTTACATTGGATTTCAAGGGAAGTTTCCATTGGATATTAAGGAAAGTTTCCATTGGATATTAAGGAACATTTCCATTGGATATTAGGGGAAGTTTCCATTGGATATTAAAGGAAGTTTACATTGGATATTAAAGGGAAGTTTACATTGGATATTAAGGGAAGTTTACATTGGATTTTAAGGGAAGTTTCTATTGGATATTAAGGGAAGTTTATATTGGATATTAAGGGAAGTTTACATTGGATTTTAAGGGAAGCTTCCATTGGATATAAAGGGAAGTTTCCATTGGATATTGAGGGAAGTTTCCATTGGATATAAAGGGAAGT